AGATTCTGAAAATTCACGAGGCTTTCTAGCGGCAACTTCAAGTTTGTTCGATGTATTTATAACTTGAATGCATTTGCAGTATTTCAATTAACTTGCTTCAGATAGTCCTTATTCCATGCATTGCCCGGCTATGACCAATAGTCACCAGCTCATCATGAAGTCGCAGTTTCTATTAGAGGGTGTTGTCGTCGGATTATCGTAGTGCACACCGGATTTGAGATTTTTGTGAACACTTCTCGATCCCCCTTTCCACGTCATCGGGAACTCGTTCAACAATTTATCAGCAATCGTCGCCCGTTGTCCAAGTCAAACTACGTTTGATACAGAACGGAATCGCTGATGCTACCTCGTTCTCGCCAGTCTTATTTCGTTATACACCTCTCCAAGTATTTGACAATTGTAGAAAGTCCAAGTAGAAGTATGAGATGTAGCTGTTCCATATCACCCATCTCCACTATAGTCACAGATTTACGATCTGCTCATCATAACTTGTTTGTCAAGCGCTTTCTTGTCCGAGTCTGCGTGGTATACTCCTCACGTTGGCTCTGCCTGGGTGCTTCACACTTCCCTAGCTGCCGATTTGACGAGTGTTGTCGATATACCCTTGTTTCGTAGTTCCGGTAAGCTCCTATGACCCCTAAGTGGCGAGCGGGCATCACACCCGACTGATGCAGGTTTGTGCCGAGGCCGAAGTCTGAGTACGACGAGTCTAGTATCCATTAAGTCGTATTCTTGTGCAGTGGAGATGGTGATCATTTTCTCCTTGAATCACACAATTACTTTGAATCTAGGGAGCATTCGTACGGAATTAAATGCTATAATCTCCCCCCTATGTTTCACTAGTTCGCGAAAGTATTGTAAACCGCTAGGGCCTCTGCAAGCTCATCCGTCTCCTTTCGAATAGACCTTGCTCTCTGTAGATATTAGGTACCGGATATCTTAGTGTCGCTTTTCTGAGTTCAGGAAGTTTTGGGGCCGATTACTATGGAAAATCAATATCTCCAGAAGGCAGTTTTTGCTCATTAATATTGCGAAATATGTTGCTTACCGTCTTCTATTGTTGGTTCACAATTTAACTTTCCCCCAATTTTTATACTTTTTCTGAAAATTCCTGGGTCCAGTGTGCAAATTCGCATGTGTGTACCAAATGCATCAAAATTCTTGCTGAGAGCTGTAACCTCCGCCCACCAAACCAGCATTGCATTTGATGGAGGGAATACTACCATTTAAAATGCTCATCGGTTTTTCACAGTTTTCTTAAAAGACAGTAAAGTCTTTGAAGGGATGCCCGCAACCGTCGCCAAAAAGGTGGTCCTAGCTAAATCAGTCAAAACGGGGCTGCACCAGTCTTGTGCTGGAATGGTAGGACACCCTAGCAGTTACTGATCGATGGTGCACAGACGCTCTAACGAAGTTGATTGACCAAGAAATTCTAATAAATGTGCTCATCTGCTACTCACGTGTGCTCAAAAAGGGTGCGTTTTTGACCCTATGTGGCAAAAAAGACTCCGGGAAAAATTGTCCAGTTGAGCTGGTAAGTAATAAATTTTCCACCAAACAGTGCAGACCCTACTCTAACTAAATGTATACATATTTTGTCCAGGCCCAACTGTTTAGCAAGGTAGAGGGATGATTTGTCAGATGATGTCAAATTCGACCTACCTCTCTTTTTCGTCTCAAAAAATTCCTAACTTTAATCGTACGAGGTTTTCACTCATACTGGTAAATGGGAAAGGGCTAATGAGTCATTCGATGGATATGCCGTTTCACTCACTGGATTTTGAATTAAAATATTGGTGGTCCGAAACTCGCGGTGAAAAAACGACACTAAGATATCCGGTACCTAATACTTTGTTGAAGTCAACCTCAGGTCGATTGCTTTGTTATTGGTGTTATTACAGTTCTTGTTCGAGAAATCTCTTTTATTCTCATGCTGATAATTCTTTTTATGGCGTGTTTTTTACAATGAATGAATGTACAAACAATGACATTCATTCACCCTGAACTACATTTCATACACGGCTTTGTTGGAGAAAAAATCAGTTTCTGTCATTTTCCGCAACTTTTGTCCGATCCTGTGAAGATAAAAAAATGAGTTCGCATTAATTGTTAGCGTAATTGGTCGAGTTTGTAGTCCACGTAAGTTCGTAAGCCGAAGAAGGGGAAGCTACTTACTGGAAAAACAGGCGGGCCTTCTAGGAGTTCATCGATATGCAATTCGCAGCAAAGGAGATGCCCCAGGCGGCTCAACATAACCCTCCTCGTGGCGCCATCGGCACCCTTACCCGCTTGCTAGCCATTCTTCACAGCTCTTAGTCGTTTAGAAGCAAAAGGGTTAGCTTCAAAGAGGGCAGCACCGATGAAAGTCGCATCAATGCGGAAATCAACGGGCCAAAAGGGGTCGCATTTCTGGGTTCTAAGCCGTTTTTCATGGTTCTTCTATACATCCTGGCACCAGTGTCCAGCTCTACGTCGAAGCAACAGTTCCAGCAGGGTTTTATCCATTCGATTCTAACGGGGTGGACGATGCATAGCCCTAGTCAAGTACATAAGAAGTGTCGCTGAATTAAAAACTCACCTTGGAAAGTTGCTAGAAGGGAGTCGAACGCATTCGAAATAGGCGGGACGACCGGGCACCGGCACACCCACTTGCAGCCGCAAAGATGCGTCCTGCATATGTCTCTCCTTGTACTAGTGGCACGAGCCAGCAAGAAACGCAGGCTAGTTCAGACATTTCGTCCGACACTCCCCTTAACTTCATTCCAAAGGAGAAGAGGGAGGAGTACCTATTCAAAACTTTTAGCGGTGGTTTTTTTTCGCATTTTTTCCATTAGCATCAACTCGCCATCTACAACTTCATTATCGGCCGTTTTTACCCCGAATTCGATCTGGAATTGTTGCTTTGAATTCTAGCGGGCTGCCTACTAATCTTCTAAAGGCCGTGAACGCCACCTAGAAGGGCTAAAACCGCCGTCACACTCGGCGACGAACAAGCGATGAAGCAATCGCGATCGTTCGCGCGCTCCATCGCCTGTCCGTCGCCGAGTGTGGCGGCGGTGTGAAGCACCACCTAATTTTTTTCTCAGAGATCCATCGTGACACAAGATTCCCGTAACAATGAGCTCCGGGTGGAGCTCGTCGCAGAAGCAGAATTTGCACGCCATGTGAATAGGAGCCAATACGTCTTGTGAATTCCCATTGGTTTTTCCATTTTTCGCTCTGTTCTTTTGAAGCCGGGTACCAGCCTATGCACATGTCATCTTGCGAAAACTCATGGCCTACCGTCCGTTCGCACCCAATTCCTGCTCATTCGCATTATTTCACTGAGAGATTGTGCTTGAAGTAACAACCCCTGAATAATGTCCTGTCGAACAATCTATTTAGTGGATAGGAGGCGGTAGCCCGTGATTACCACAGATGCGCCGTTATCATGGCTAGAATGTGCGCTACAATGGCGCCTGGGCTTTGAAAAGTGATTTAATGACGGTCAATGTGAAAAAATGGGTGGATTTTTGCGGACACTCCACAAGACGCAAGGTAGATTGCCATGAAGCGGCTCAACTCAAATACGCGCCGGTTAGTGGAGCCGTGGGGCAAGGAAGTCCAGACAACTCTCCCTCGGAGTTGAGATGAGATTATGAGAGAGAGATTCCTCATTTAGGAGCTTCATGGGTGGTTTGCTTTACTTCTTTTTTTTTCAATGTTAGTCCATCTTGATGGCGTCTCACCCCACACACCTGTATATCGAGTGGTAAATGCACAGAACTTGGATCGCATGAAGTTCTTCGATGAAAGTTGCGATGAAGTAACTTGTAGGATTTCGCCTCAAAAGACGTGTAACAACAACGAAAAAGCAAGTTCTGATGAATTTCGCAGCAGTGAACGCCAAACACTTTTGCCAATGTTTTCCCAATAAGAACACATCATTGTAGTTTTGTATTCGTGTATCCGAAATGAAAATATCGTGGAGCCTAAAAAATCATCATTAAAATAAAGCATGTTCAATCATAGCTAATGCATGACGTCTGGCATAACCGCAAAAAAAACTTGGAGAAAAATCGGGGAAGGAACGCATACATGTGGCAGAGCACAGAATGAAATGCACAAAGTGGACCCGCTTGCAGGTTGCGTTGTCGTCAGTGTGATGGGAATCCTGCCTAAGTAGGGTGGGGAGGAAGCTTCTGGGCGGATCCTCGGATTCGTCATGTGATGGAAAGTTGGAGTGGGCAAGATCATATAGTCAGTGCCTTAAACACCCCCGACGCTCTCTCACCCTGCCTTCCTTTCCTGAGCTTAACTTATGGTTAGTCGCTGTCTCGCCAGTCAGTGGTGCAGAGAAACAGCAAGTGGGCTTCAAGAAGCACAACTAGTAACGAAGTAGTAACAAATAATAACGAGGTCCATATTTCTCATCACGGTACCGAATCACTCCTACGAACAGGGTTTCGACAATTTAAATTTCATCAGATTATGGGTTTATTATGAACAAATTGCCCCAAACGTATCAAACCAATTCAAGTTTTGGATCTAGTCGTATAACAAGGTTAGTTTGGAAACTTGACGATTACTTCAATCGGTGAGACATCGCCCCGTGATGAGGCATAAATATAATAAATACAGCAGTCTTGTTACGTTGTTAACTTGTAATTCAGATTAGCGCTGTTGGAATCACGCTGAATGTGTCAGCTGTCATGCTTATCTGTCGCACGCCATCCCTTCACAATGCTTTCGGATACATTTGTGCTTCACATTTGATCGCCGACATTGGTCAACTGCTCATTTTCTCATTATGGTGTGCTTCGACTGCGATACTGTGAGTCCCGAATGTACATTGTAGCTAAAACGATCCTGCTTCTACTCAGTGAATATTTATTATCAACTTTTACAACGAAGCACTTCGCTGAATGCCCGACATTTCTGTTTTAAAAATACTTAAAGGCAAACTCCGGGATAAAACTGGTGTATAAGAGCGCACCATAGTGATGGATGAGCTGCAAATGATCAAAAGTGGAAAGAAAGCAAGAAAAGCCATCGGAAACGCTGAAATTAAGGCCTTGACCTCCAGTAAGGTCGGATGTAGTACGCGGCGAGACAGAGCGATCAGAATAGACAGAACACGCGAGAGAGCGCGCTGATCCCCACATCGATGCAGTAGGTGGGAAGCGTTGCAATAAGGGCCGCCCCTTAACGATTAGCCCCCTACCCCCGGTAATAGCCCGACTCGTGGGAAAGACACCGCGAGGGAAATCCCAAGGTCCCTACCTCCCTAGCTTACTCCTATTTTCTCGCAAAATGTGCGGTTGGGCGCTAGTCCTTACGGGTCTGCAACCATCGACTCTCGTTGCAACGCTTCCCCCACCTCGATTATATAGAGGTCTGCGTGCTCTCTCGAACGGCGTGATCTCTCGCATGTTTTGTTTTCTTCGATCGCCCTGTCTCGCCATCATACCACATCCGACCTTATTAAAGGATGAGGGTGCGACTTCAACGCTCTCCAAGATTTCTCTTGCTTTCCCTTTTTCAGGTCGTTCCTACAGCTCAGTCTCACTCGAAGCAGGGTGAAAATCGTGTCGAGTACGTGGTCGCAGAGGTACGACCCCCCCCCCCGAAATCGAGATCCTGGCACGACCCCCTCTAACAGAGCAAATTCAATTAATTAATTAAAATAAATCCTGCAAAACAAATCAAAAAAAATTTGCAAAATAATGTTAAGGACGCCTCATCTTGTCATCTATGCACTGTCTTTCATCGCTGCACACTTTTGTGTATTTACTGAAATATCGACTCGAGGAAAGAGGCATTAACTTTGTGTGACCTCAAAGTCAGGTTCGTTCAGAAATGCACAGAAATCCTGAAGGCACGGGGTTGCGATTTAATCTTAATTCCTGCTTGAGTATATCGAAACAGCCGAGTGTATCAATCAACGGCCGATTCAACGGCAGCTGCGGCGCGATTGTCACTGGGTCAGATTTGCTGAAATCCCGAAAAAAAACCGTCGAAATCTACACCCTCGATGAGAAAGGTTAGATAGAGCTGGAATTCGCGTTTCCAAAAGTATGCTCTGAAGCCTTCCATGCAGAAAGATAGGGTCTCTCAAATTTCGTCGAGTAAACGTCGAGGACGCTGAAATTTTCATGCTAGTTTTTGCCACTTCAAAAGCAATATCTCTCTAATTCGAAGGTCCTGAAAAAGGGAAGATAGTTTTGGAAAGCGGGTTTGCGCTTTCTGATGGTCTTCTTAGCTTTCTTACATTTCCTAGTTGAGAAGATATCTGCGTCGAGTATGTATCGAGGACGGATCCGGCCACCTGAAAATCCGCTCCCTCCTTCACCATTGCAAGTGTAATTGTTGGCAACGCTTGAAATGGGTCTAGAAAACATCCTCCCAACATAAGCAATAGGAAAAGGGGCAATCGTCATCATCGAATTTTGTCTGAGTATAGCCCATGCATCCGACCTCACTCGAAGTTGCAGAATCGATTCGAAGGGATTCATTCATCTTCATAGTGTCATACATATGCATGGACCAGTTACAGACATCTGCATTGTAGTAAACTGATCATGATCGTAACTCTCCACAACATAAGAACAATCTTCCATTTGCCTAGGCTTGTCTTCTCACGAGTGTCCCCCGTTTTTTTTCCGACAGTGTCCCTAAACAGTGTCATACTCAGTGAGGTATACACTGCGTTTCATAAATATAGGTCCACCCTAATTTTTTGCTATTCCAAAGTTGCTGTGCATTTTTGGAAAATGCCGCTATTACCAATAGTTTCCCCATAACGAAAACCTTGATACTTGATTTCTGGAGAAATCTCGATTCAGAATTATTAAAATATCTTCCTTAGAACGTATTTTCACCGTTTCGCAAATATGACTACACATCACTTGTCGAGAGATTTTACTATAACGAAAAAACGTCACGAATTTTCAATAATGGGATGACCCCCCAATAATCATAAGGAACACAATAATACGTTTTGAAATGCTGGTAGCCAAATTAGCTATTACAGTAGGATCGAAATTCGTCTGGGCGCCGATGATCGACCTTTTCAGCTTTTCGGCTGTTCCATTTTGCTTTACTTTGCTGTGAACTTTATAACAATTAAGGCCCAATGATTCTCTATTGGAATCTAATTCAGATAACATGGTGGCCACCAGATAACTGCCACATTTTTTCCTGCAATTCCATCTGGCGCGGAGGGACCGGCATGGACAGCCGCGTTATCGTGTGTGAAAATCAAGGATAGAGGGGATCCTTGTTGAAAAAATGGTAAGACTCGCTTCGAAAGAACTTCACGATACCCTGTGGAACCAACAATATTTCCGCCGCTTCCCATTCCTTCACGGATCGTGAGAATATTGAAACTTTTAGAGTGGCACACGAATATGCATGAAAATTCGTTCTAAAAAAGTTTAATTGGTTACTTGAGGGGGAATTTGTCAGAAAAACACTATGAAGGTTTTCCGTGATGAGGAATCTAACGGTGATAGCAGCATTTCCAAAAAATGCACAGCAACTTTGGGGTAGCAAAAATTTAGGGTGGACCTATAATTATGAAACGCAGTGTAGGGAGAAGGAGCGAGCGATAGGCAGAGGAGGTGCCTTTGCAGCGCGTGCGCACATGTGGCAGTCTTCTTTGCGGGATGCACTTTCATTCTTTGTACTGCCTTCAAATACGCCCTTCTCATGAAGGTGGAGGAATGGAGCGACTGAACCTGCAAAGAAAATTTAATATCATGTTTTTTTCAGATATTTTCATTTTCTGCTGCGCTATACCCTCTTACCTATCTGCACCACGATACCACTGCTGTTACTGACCCCCAAGAGTACGACCCCCATGACCCAGCCCGACAGGTACGACCCCCCTGTCGAGGATTTCCTCGACCGATATTCACCCTGGTCTAGAACTCTCATTAAATATTCCACTCTCAAAAACAATCAAAAAATAACAATAAAAATAAATGAAGTAATGTTCCATCTTTCGAAAATGTTAGTACTCTTACCTGCTATTCTCGTTTGCTTAATCTTGCAAAAAGACTATTGTTCAAGTTGTGTTTGATTTATATGAAAGATATTAACTGCATGCGTATGAAAAAGTCCCTTTTAATGTTGAGAGTTCTGTATCAACTTGAAGAAATGACATATTTTTTTATTCCAGGGGACTTCCCGACACAGTAACTTCGTCTTATTTCGGTGGGAAAATAGGCCAGCTCTCTTTATCACTCTGGTTTGTTTCCATTTATAGCCTGTTACAAATGGCTCTGAATCGACTTCTTGCCATCTCCTCGCCAATTATGTATAGGTGAGTTGCTAGGCCGTTTAGCTTCCACTTAGTTAGTACTTGGTTCTCGTTTGAGGAGACAACCTCAGACAGCTTGCCAATCTTTCTACTTTCCCACATGTGGGAAACCAACCGCGCACACAAACTGCACGTTTGCACGAAAAAAAAAACTGAGTGGAGACAGTTGCTTTGAATCGACACAACCTTGTAGAGACGACCTGTCATTTCTGGAATGCACCTGCACCTCAGGTCAAGTCCATGATGGATTTTGATCAGCAATTAAAGTTTAGGGGTGTGGTATACTGCTCAGTTCGGCTCAGCTTTGCGCATAACACTTATCTGGCTTGCCGGTTCCACGTGGGTGGTCGGTAGACCCGTGTTTGGAGTTTCGGTAAGCTCCTATGACCCATGGTGGCGAGCGACATCATAGCCGACTGATGCAGCTTGTGTTGTTGTTCAAGTGTGGGTATGTATCTACAAAATCCTCTTCTCGTGTGATGGTAATGGTTGATCGTCTTACTTTAAACTTATACCCTCGTTAAAGCCTGAGACCGTTTTGAAACTAGTGCTGAAATCCCCTTTACATTCCACCATTTCTTAGAGTACTGCCAACCGCTTGGCTTGCAAGCTCATACGTCTCTTCTTGTAGATCGCAGATAGGCTAGTGAACTCAACCTCAGGTCGCTGGTTTATCACTGGTTTTGTTACTTATATTTTTCACCAAGCTTTGAAATTTTTAATATTTCATATCTAGTTTAAATTTATTACGAGTCACAAATAAATAAATAGATCTCAATCCACCAAGAGGGTCGCGCATGTGGCGTCTCCAACATTAGCTCGAGATACGATGACCAGGAAGTTCTTTCAGGTCATGCACCGCTTTTTGAAGAACGGTTTCTTCCATGATTTAGAGCCATTTGCACGAAACAGCTGCATTTTTCCGAGTGACCCTACGAATGCCAAAAGGGCTTGAAAAGCTCAAGCGACACAGCTTTTTCAAAAAACTTCCTCATATGAATCACTTGTAGCATTGAATCATCTACTAGTCGCAGATAGCATTTTACAGCGTCACAGTGTCACTCAAAATTGCAAAATTTTGTCACAACGTAGAGTCGAACCATGAACCAATCTTTAGAGAGAAGACCGTAAGAGAAAGAGATTTGTGTCCTATTTCATTGAATTAATCATACCATGTGCGACACTCCGGTGTGCATCTCATTTGAGTTAGCTTGACTTCGTCCTCTCTCCAACGAAGTGATTGATATCATTTGTGATCTTTGAATCATGCTAATACTTTCTCAAATCGACTTGAACAAATACAAATTCCTGGCGATTTTGCTGGTTTCTTCTTCACTGTCTTCGCTTATTTATCATAATGCTTTCATGACGTTTATTTTTATCCTTCCATAATCAACGGCTCTCTCCCTGTACTGGGCATTCTAGAACCGCGACTCACACAGTAATTAACAAGTGTAGTATCTGGTGACCAAAGTGTCTTTTACTGACATCCACGTTTAACTTGTGAGTAATATCTCGGATTGAGATGGGGCCGCGTGCAGGTTGTAAAAGTGCATGCAGGTGCAGACTAGTATCCCTAGGTGTAACCTTAGGTACTTGAGATTCTCTCACATGGTCGTAAACCTAAGCCACGCCCCCATCTACTGTCGATCCGTCTTCTGATCGAGCTGATCAGTCAGTCTGGAGTTTTGCCGAGCTCACGGGATGTGAGCAGATCGGTCTCTCTCGGAATACGAGAGGGGAGTTTCCCGAGGTCGTTGCGGACGACTAGGTGATTAACTCTACGTGCTAGAGGGCTCCCCCTGACTCCGAAGCGTCGCCCGATGCGAGCTTCGTTCTCTTCACACCAGTTGAAGAGTGGATCTTTCCCCGTGTGGAAAGCAGTTGTGCAGTAGTTCGTACAAGACGACTACAGATGCACGTTGGCCTAAGCGTGGCTCACGCGATGGTCGCCCTTCTGTGTTCAGAAGGAAGTGTACGTTGAACATCCTCGGCGAGAAGATGGTTCAATCGTACAAGATGGCAGGTGAATTGCGGACAGTCCCCGTTTCCCTAGCTTGGTTGAAGCCTAGAATCTACAGTAGTAGATTCTAGCACCTTTTGTATATATTGATTGGCTCATTGCCAATCATCATTTTGTATATAACTTGCAATAAATGGTTAATTACGAAAGTGTGTTGTGTTTTGTAATTGGGTACGGTCAATCGTCACAGCTGTTACATAACACCCACTACTGTCACGAAACTTTGGAGCTCTCGCCGTTCCAACAAAAGTCAATAAACATATAGAGAAAACGCTGTCGAAAAATCTAAGAGCAAGAAGGTTGCTATTAACTGGACGGTGTTTAAAAAGGACTGCTTTGTGCCACGCGGATAAATGCTCGTTTATTTTGACCAACGAAATCGCACCACCTCAAACTTGGGTAATTAAACGAATAGTAAGAAAAATTAATATAATATTACGTTAAAAATACAAAATAACATGTAATCCAAAAAAGAAACAATAATGATTAAATCTGTGATAGTTAACAGGCACATTTAAGATTCAAGTGCTTAACAAGGCATGGAGGATGAGATATTAAAAGAAATATGGAAAGAATGAGTCATGAACTAGGAATAAGGGATAAGCCATGCACCAGAAAGAGGGCAAATAATGCGTGAGTAAGAAACCATGAGCTAAGAGTCTGCGATAAGCCATGAACTAGGACTAAGGTAAATGATACGTAATAGGGAATTATGAACTAACGAGCCTGGAATAGTCAGCCATGAAACCTTTCTAAGGTAAATAATGTGCGTAAGCAGAGCAGTTATAACTTAGGTTTACAGCAAGCCATGAACATGGAACTACAAATCAACATTCGCGTGAACAGGCAGTTTATACAACTAAAAGAGCCTAGATTAAGCCATGAACTTGGAACTACGGTAAATGATACAAAAGGAGAGAAGAAATGCATAAGATATGCATGCACTGAACTCATGCACCGCTGTCATGCACTGAACTCATGCACCGCTGCCGACTGTCCTGTGCGTCTCACAGACGCCACTATTTATGCGTCGCGTACATTAGCGCCTTCAACGGAATGTTCAACAAAATCTCACCCTCTCAAAACAAAGAAAGCTTCTGAGATTTTTACGAAAGAGTAAAAGCTTTCATGTCAGAAATCGTATAGTTCTGTACATAACTTTCTACCTGTCATGCCTCGAATCACGACGTTCGTGATAGTTGGTCACACTGCAAACACCTTCTTAGCTTCCACTACTCATTTTGCTTTTTTCATGTCGTAATACCGGATGTCCCAAGACAAGTGGCGAAGGTAAGCATCTGGGGCCGAAATTCGCAAATTGGTCCTAGTGATTCTGGACCCTCAATTTTCTGCTCTACTCTGCGCCCTTTCGCTGCTTCCATACGACCATATCAGTCAATGCCTTCAGCGGCTTAATCCTAACGCTTTGACGCTATCGCACTTTTCCTCTTCTGGCTGCACGGGGCAAGGTTCTTTTCCATGCCGAAAAATCGAGGGAAATATAAAGCGAGCAAGGGACGTACACACTAGAGTCGTACTATTTTCTGGAGTATATCGTTCTTGGCATTTATTAATTATCAAATTATTTATTTTTCTCTTGTTGCATAGTAACTCCCTTTCCCTTACTAGTTGAGGTCGGTCAAACTCCATTTGCACAAGCGGTATCCTATTGTCTATGATATAGCGCACCTATGCGTGCATCAAATAAATAAATAAAATAAATAAATAAATAAATTTATATCAAGGCATGGTCTACAGAATGGACCCAAAAATCGGAAAAGGAGCCTCACCTGCGCTCTAAAATTAATCACTGTGGCACCGTAGCGCACCGCGCCGTCCTGTCTCAAGGCGAACACCTTATGGTGCGCCGTAGTCAAGTTCTTAACTGCTACGTGAGTTCACCGCTATGGTATGAGAGATGTAGACGAAATCGAGATAGAGAACTGAACAGTTCGAATGGTTGGGACAAGACGCTGCAAACTTTTGAGTTTCGCGGCGGACGTGTCGATGTTTGATACAAACGCTTATAGCACTTTTCCAGATGGATGCCACTTTCGTTTTGAACAGCGCTCAGCTATTTTCGTTTGGCATATGCTCAGACTCAATGTGGCGCCACTGTTGCTTATTTCCACTTCTTGCATGGGATAGCTACATGTGTTATTGTTGTCATCATTGATACAACAGCCTTTTTCGCTATCGCTAGAGAATTGAAGGTGATCAAATAGTTTTGTTATAGTCAACCACATTTCGTTGAATCTATCTTATGGGTCAGGATGTTTGTATAATTGTTACGAATCAGGTTTTCCGAATTTTTAACATCTTCAGAAAACGTCCCATGGAGCATCGGAGAACACGACGCTTAGGAAGAAATATTAATATGTATAATAAGGGATTCATTTAAGTAAAAAAAAAAAAAAAAAAAAAAAAAAAAAAAAAAAAAAAAAAAAAAAAAAAAAAAAAAAAAAAAAAAAAAAAAAAAAAAAAAAAAAAAAAAAAAAAAAAAAAAAAAAAAAAAAAAAAAAAAAAAAACCCAAATTGTACTACCCGCCCATTGGGCTGCCAACCACATGTGCTTCCTGGACGATGGCAGCCCATATGGGCTGCCAGCTGATAATCGCTTGCCAGGCGCTAGGAATGGACAGATAGGTGGGTAAATCTCGTAATCGAGTGAGAAATGCTTTTAAATTCCTTCACGGGGAAAGTGAATAAATGCTCTCTTCGTAACCACTATTCGTCGTTCTGATCGAAATACTACTACACTGATGTGCAAAACTTAAGGACGAGACAGATGAAGTATCATAACCTTTTGATAGCTTTGTGGACCGTTTAACGGTTCCTGTTAACTGCTTTCTTTAGTGCCCTGTGACAGCTCTTTGTATGTGGTTAGGTTCCATAGAGTCATGTTACGCGCCAGTAACACGTCGTTGGAAAAGCTACGTTCGTCCCTAAGTTTTGCACACCTGTGTGTTATATGTTTA